ACATGAGAAATCGCTGTCATTGCCGGTTTTGTCTTCTCTGTCATCTACACTGGCTGCATTGACCATAGACCTGCAATGGGAAATGCATTAGAGGTTTTATTGGGGAAGCTTAGTTCTGTTATGGAGGTGTAATCGCACAGATTATTCTCTTATATTTCCCTTGATTAGAATACTTAAGTGTGGTCTGCATATTTTGCATATACTTTTACCTTGCTAGAGCAATTTCCCCTCCCCTGCTTGTAATTTTGCTTTAAGACGTTAAAGTGATTTATAGTATATCTGAATATTACATTTATATTATTTCAAACTAATAGAAGCAAATTTCAAAATGCTTTTGTGTATCAAAAACATAATACAAATAAAAATAATTATTCAAATCCAGAGAAACTAACATTTTGATTACAATATTTCTGAACTATAAATATTAATTAATTCAAACCAGAGAAACTTACATTTTGACTATTCAAAGACAGAGAAACTAACACTTTGACCACATTTTTTCTGAATTATTAATATTAATTAATTCGATTACAATATTTCTAAATCTTAAATATTAATTAATACGAAGCCAAAGAATAAATAATGATAAATTAAAATTTTAAAAGTCTTACATTCATCTTTAAAACTAAAAAATACAAAAATATAATAATAAAACTCCTATAATAAACTTAAACCTATATAACAATTTACTTAATATATTTATTTGTCAGCAAAAATCCTTACTATGATTTAATTCTTTGAATAAGGGAGGTATTTATGATCATTTAAAAAACCTCAGCTGTGTGTGTAAGAAGTCGTATCTTTTTGGTGCCGTTTATTTCCTTTTTAACAATCGTAGCTCACCAAATGCAAAAATATGCCTGCCAAGGCAGTAATTTTTTGTGGACTTCATCTCCTTGTTTTTTTTTCGATTTAGGTGTTTTTTCCTTTGTATAATTTTTTGTTTTTCTATCTTGGCCCCTTTTTGTTCTCTCTGTTTTGTGTCAAACCGCATTGGGCCACAAAACAGAAGTCAGAGCCATATCCCGGCACAAGGTCCTTGGGTCGCCAACGCGCTGAGCTGCTAAGCGAAAACTTTATGCACCAAATTGTTTTCACCTGCTGTCCCAAATTTATAACACCTCACCCACCCAGGGCCTCTTCTCGTTTTATTTTTATTTGTATAATCCTTTCGGTTATGGGCCAGGACACGGACACCCGCACCCTTTTTGTGGGGCCGAGTAACTTTTGTGGATGACAGAAACCAGCATTGGAATTTGCGAGCCGGCGCAGGGATTAAGCGAAAGACAAAAACCGGAGGCGAATCCGAAATGCGGATTCCACTGTTCACTGCTCACAATTGCCGTCCCGAAAAATCGCCGGCACAGTGGGCCCGATTTCGATTTCAAGTGCTGCAGGAATCCCCAGGCCCCTTCAGTTTATGGCCGCAACTCTTACTTTGCATAATGTTGTTAAGCAATTTTTACGACACCGTACTGAGGGGTCACTAATAATGGCCGGCACACTTGTTGTGCCCGCCGGCTACTCGCGAGAAAATGGGTGTTTTCTCGCTTCTGCTGTGAGTCGGCGAACACTTTTGAATGACCCTCATTAAACGACCAGAAATTATATTAAATTTGCCAAGAACAAAACGCCCAGCAGCGGTGGCGAAAAATGTTTGCTGCATAAAAAAGTTGTAAATATTTTTATGCCTGCATTAATATGCAACGCCAACCACTGTAGGGGCCTTCATGGGAAAGTGGGTGTGGAGATCCTGCCATGGCAGGATGGCTGGGGCTCCTTCCTGGCTTGCTGTCGCTGCTAATACCACCGCTAATAAAATCTTACTGCCGCAGTAGCGTCGGCCTCCTCCAGATTCAGATTCAGATTCAGCTTCGCAGCCATGAAGCACAGCTGTGTGCAGTCATTTTTACTGCTGCACTGCAAAGGCATAGAAATATAATAGGGACCCCCTCCCCCCTCCTTCCTGGGGGCGGAACAGCCCTAGCAGGGCGTGGCCAGATCCAGTTGGAGCCAAAAGGCCAAAGTGTTTAAGTGCCCAAACTTTGTTATTAGATTGCCGGCGGCCACTAGTTCAACAATGATCTTTGGCCGGAAATGAAGTGTACAGTTATTCAATCCACGCACTAAACTAATTATAAATCAGTTTTTGGTTCTATTAGTTTTATGGCATTTAAATTAGAATAAAGTTTTATTATACGATTATTTTTACAAAATGTTATTCTTTAATTATTCACTGTTTGACTGTAATCGGCAGAACCATTTACAAATGGTGTTCGATCAAGATATAATGCATGCCTGCTTTTAAATAAATTCGTTACATTATTTAGAAAAAGTAATATCTGGTTGGGAGTGGCCTAAACTTCTGATTATAGTTATTTTCTTAACTTTTATGTGTAAGTCATTCAATAGTTATCCTTTCCGACAAAAGAGGTCCGATATTGTTATCAGTCACAAATAAGTGTGCGGGTTCGTTATCAGAACTCATTTTAATGACCAGAACAAGAACCCTCAGCTTCCGTCACTTTTAAGCATGTCACTTCTGCCGCTTTGCTGTCTAAGGCCATATGAATTCGGGGAAAACAGCATTCTGCAGATTGCAAATATTATAATATTCCCACACAGATGCCCTCTGACAGCTCGAGAGTCGGTGCCTGAATTCCTGTCCATCCGCACTGACTGTGTGCAAGGCAATATTCTCCGTGGCCGAAGCCCGCCTCTTCGACTCGCATCGTATTCTTGCTTTGTTTGGGCTGTCTGTCTAACTGTCAGTTCAGTTAGCTTTTGTTGGTAATTATTCAGATTTTGTTTGCATTTCATGCATAAATAAATCACCGAAAATTGCGACTCAAAACTATAAATGCCAAGTCATACATCTGTCACTATTCGGAGAGTGGAGATGGGGCTGGGTGTGCTGGGAAGTTGGATAATATTCTCGGACCGACACTAAAATGCAGCTGCCGCTCATTAGTACTTAGTCGCTATACCTCGTTCCCTTACTCTAATTTAATCAAGTTGAATGGGAAAAGAAATTACGCTCTCTTTTTTTTCGGTGGGTGCTTCAAAATATTCAACAAACAACAAAAAAGTAAGGGAATGGAAAATTACCATGGCTAACAACATTTGGGGCCGCGCGTCCTTTATGTAAATTGCGGCCAAATTAGTGAGTCAAGGAAAAAAGGAATCCCAGTACAGGTAAAGAAAAACAGACACTCAGAGGTTACCAAGACAGCTTTGGCCAGACGAGATGACTCCGGGGATATTACCTAACCGCCGGGCAAGTGGCTCTACATAAAGATCCATTCGACGCTGAAGGTAAGTGGTTAAGCGACAACATCAGTGGCCCCATCATATTTTAATTTGCATTCAAATTAAATGGCATATCAACGAAAGCAAAACAATGATATTGTTTGGAAAATGCTGATGTGCTGTGTAATAATGCATTTTACTACCCTGGGTAATATCAAAACAACAGATAAAAAATTTAAAGAAATTATCTCAAAATTAAACAAATAGTATTCTCATAACAAACTTCGATTAAACCATTAAATAAATAGTTTTATTAATAACAGATTGTCATATTTTTAGAGAAGTTTATTGTTGATTTATGAAAACAGGTAATAACTACTACTTTGGTAGTCATTTGTATTTATTTATGCAGAACTAAGATTTTACTTAATATATTAGAGACGTAAAACCCTTTTCAAAACGAAACTATAAATATTTTAAATCCGACTGCCTTTAATTATTTTAAAATAAAAGCATTTCGGTAATGATTAGATACGTATGCCTCGATGAACTTGATGATTTGATTAAAAGTTCCCTCAAAATGTGCTTTCCCCACTTATCCCGAAAGTCATTAGAGGTTTCCATTTAATTCCCTAATCCACAACATCCTTTTCTTCCGCCCCCTCGAACGAATGTGTGTGCAATTGGGCCCCAATCTCTTTCCACTTTTCTCTCACCACCTTCCACTTTCCACCGACTTCGATATAATCCCCAAAGCGCGCTTTTCTTACTACCCAATCCACATCGTTCCGGCCCCATAGTCGACTGTCATCAAAGACGTCAAAAGCGCTGCCCGCTGAGCCAACAATTAACAATTAAAACCCCAAAGCGCACAACTCAATTTTGCAATACACACAGAGCGAGTGGCTGGGAGGTCGACGGAGGCAAACACTGCAATGGCAATTTCATCCATATATATTCATACATATATATTCCGCAGATAGCTGGGGAAAGATAAGGGTAACCCACAACAACAATAACCCAGCACCAATGGGCACTACCACGGCTAAGTTCTCTGTGTGCTCGTCGCACTTACAACTAAAAACTTGTTACGTATTTAATTGCAATTAAAAAGTTGTTTTGTAGTTACGAGTGTTGGTGCTCTTGGCTTTCTTGGTGGGTGGCTGGTTGGCTGGCTGGTTGGATGCCGCTGTTTTGTCAGACAGCCAACAACAGGATGGCTTCGAAATTGTCTCCAATAACAAAACCAAAACCAAAACCCCAAAGACTCTGGTGCTGAGATGAAGTCATTACAAGGCGAAATGAAAATGCGTGGAAAAGAAGCCAAAAGGGTTTTCCGCTTAATGACTTTCATGGTGTTTCGGTGCTTTCGGATAAAGGAACCAAAAATCCCATCGCCCCACTCCCACATCCACTCTCCTCTGATTTCAACGATAGCACTCATTAGAGTTTGGCGATTTTTGGCTTAAAACTTTGGCCATAACAATTGGCCATGGCCATCATCGCGATTTTGACACGAAACACGGAGCCATTGGGAAATTCACATCTAAATAGGAGGCAAATTGTCTGCTCTTTGGCTTCGTAAATAAATTGCTTTTATTTGATTTGATTTAGTTTAATTTAGAAAAGCGTTAAAGCTTAAAAAATCTTGTGTTGAGATAAATTCAAGAAGTTTTCTTTTCCCATTTGAGAAACTTAACTTAAACTTGTCAAGTTTTTTAAAGTTCTGAATTTGATAAAAGCAAGTAAAATAAAATATTTGATCTCTCTTAAAAGAAAATATTTATTTTTATATTATTATTTGGTTGTTTTGTTTTAATGTATTCTTTTCTAATGTGTATCTTTTGGATCATGGCTTTGCTTAATGGCTTTCTTTCGATTTGTAGAGGTGGGCGACTGGCACTAGGTTGGTTAATTGAAGAAGGCTTAGCCAAAGAAATTGAATAGATTTTCCTGCTGCTGTTGTTGCTGCTGACCGCCCCTGCCGCCCTGCTGCTGTTGCTGTTGCTCCTGGAAAAATTCGACGCCGCCGCCGAGAGGACCTCTAAAGATAACACCCTCCTCCTGCTGCTGCTGCTGCTGCCCACCGCCGCTTTGTTGCTGTTGCTGCTGCTGACCCTGTCCAAATTGTTCAAAATCACGAATCAATTCTCCAAACGGGCCGAACTGAGCCGAGGCCAAGGCGAAAAACGCCACACACACAATTATCTAACGATAAAAATGGGATTTAAAATAAAGTTGAATTGCGTACAAAATTAATTTATAATAATAATAATTAGGAATTATGGTCGGTATTTTTTTATTTACCAATAAACTATTTTTAATCGTTAAAAGCAAGATTAGTTATGAGAAAGTCGCAAAAGAAATATATTGTTGTTTCAATTTTATTTAAATTTTCCACTAATACGAAATTTTAATTATGAAATCATTTGGTATGTTTCATTTACCAAAATGTTATGTAAAATGTTTCAAAGCAAGATTATTATCAACAAGAGAATAGGTATTTTGAATATCATAATAATATCTATTTTAAGATAGATAAATATATATAAGGTTTTTTACGTTTCGAAAGTACTGTTTATCAATTTTAATTCATTCCAAATACTAATATTATATAAAGAATACGTACAATTTGCTTTTAATAATCTTCTTTAAGCGATTAAAACGAGAACTGAACTACCCAATATAAAGTGTTTATATAAACCATACTCACCAGCAATTTCATGTTGAATTTTGTGTTTTTATTTCCCCTGCTGGCAATCTTAGTTGGCTGAAACGCTAAAATCAACTGTTTGACTTTTGGCTGCTGGCTATGTGTATTTATCTGATTTTTGTTTGGCTTATTGATACTCAAAACTGGTTGGCCACGGGCAAATCGCGGCTCGGACTTCCCTTTGCGCCGATCCATAGACATTTGAGTTCACAGGGGATTTTTTCGGTTAATGAAATATTTCAAGTATGGTTGTCAACATTTCTGAGAGCGACGGGCCCACTAAAAATACAGGTTTTCAATTTAGCTCTCTCTGGCATTTGCTATTCGTTAATCAATTTAATTTAATTATCATTATTAGAATATTCATAAAATTCATGTATTCCAAATTTAGTATGACTCATTATAATGTCTAATAATTATTTGCACAATTCTGCAATTGTTCGAAATTGTTAATAATGCTGAAGTTGTCATTGCTGCTAAAAACTTCCGCAAAGTGGCGATCAACTTATTATTCAATTAACTGTTTAAGTAATTTTTGACGAATAAAGTGCTTTTCATATGAATCTTTTCAAACTCAGGAACAGGTTTATGGGCAACAAGACGAAAAAAGCTATAAATGAAAGAGGTTATAAGTTTGCGGTTAAATAAGTGTGCTGAGTATTGTTTACCTATACAATATTTCTTTAACAAATAAATAGGTACTATTTAAAGAGAGCACATGTAAAGGATATTGGGAATCCGTAAAGGCAGAAGAGAAAAAAGCCTTGGTAACACATTATCCAGATTTTTTGTATATCCTAAGGGAGTTTCAGTAAAGAAAATTATTCAAAAATTATAATGATACACTGTTTTTGTTTTTTTTAGTGTTATTTAATTAATTTAAAGACGATTCCATAAGGAAATTATTTCAGAAGTCTCCTTGCTGTTGTTGTTGTTGCTGTTGATCGAAACCACCGAATCCCTCTTGCTGTTGCTGCTGTTGTTGTTCGAAACCACCACCGAATCCTCCACCGAATCCCTCTTGCTGCTGTTGCTGCTGTTGGCCACCGAATCCTCCTCCGAATCCACCGAATCCCTCTTGCTGTTGCTGCTGTTGTTGTCCGAAACCACCGCCGAATCCTCCACTGAATCCCTTATACGGCTGATGCTGCTGTTGGCCACCGAATCCTCCTTCGAATCCACCGAATCCAAATTGTATTAATGCGGAAGCAATGGCAATTAGGGCCACAAAAACGATCACCTTTAATGGTATTTAAAATGAAATAGTCATTAAGTCCTGCGAGGTATCACACAGGTAGCGTTACTCACCAAGAATTTCATGTTGTATGTAATTCTAAATTCGATCTTTCGAAATATCTCAATAGATGAGGACGCGGCGACGTTGCACTTGATACTGTGCCCTTTCCGTCCAGTCTTTCTCTATTTATACGATTTTACCTTTGTGATTTGCAGTTCGAGATTCAGAGGTTCTTTACCTGCATTGAAAAAAACTTGTCCCCAGAAACTGACACAGACCTGAGGGTTACCTTACAGCTGACCAGCGTTTCTCTTTTAAGTCAGTTTTGAATTTGTTTTGGTTACTGACTGGTTTATAGGCAACAAGATGAAAAAATCTATAAATGAAAGAGGTTATCATTTTGCTGTTAAATAAGTGTGCTTAGTATTGTTTACCCATACAAAATTTCTTTAACAAATAAATAGAGAGCACATATAAAGGATATTAAGAATCCGTAAAAGCAGAACAGAAAAAAGCCTTGGTAATAACACATTACCCAGCTTTTTTGTATATCCTAAGAGAGTTTCAGTAAAAAAAATTATTCAAAAATTATAATGATACACTGTTTTTGTTTTTTTTAAGTATTATTTAATTAATTTAAAGACGATTCCATAAGGAAATTATTTTAGAAAAAGCCTCCTTGCTGTTGTTGTTGCTGTTGCTCGAATCCACCTCCGAATCCTCCGAATCCCCCTTGCTGTTGCTGTTGTTGTTGTTCGAAACCACCGCCGAATCCCCCACTGAATCCCTCTTGCTGTTGCTGCTGTTGGCCACCGAATCCTCCGAATCCTCCGAATCCAAATTGTGGCAATGCGGAAGCAATGGCAATTAGGGCCACAAAAACGATCACCTTTAATGGTGTTTAAAATGAAATAGTCCTTTAGTCCTGCGAGGTATCACACAGGTGTCGTTACTCACCAAGAATTTCATGTTGTATTTAAAATTAAATTCGATCTTTCGAAATATCCCAATAGATGAGGACGCGGCGAATTTGCACTTGATACTGTGCCCTTTCCGTCCAGTCTTTCTCTATTTATACGATTTTATCTTAGTGATTTGCAGTTCGCGATTCGGAGGTTCTTTACCCGCATAGGAAAAAACTTGTCCCCAGACACTGGCACAGACGTGGGGCTTTCCTCACAGATGACCAGCGTTTCTCTTTTAAGCCGGTTTTGAATTTGTTTTGGCTACTGACTGGTTTTTGTTTTCTTTGGGTGAACAGGCGCCAGGTGCGTGTCTTTCGATTTGAATGTTTATAGTTTGCTAATTTATATTTAAATAGGATTTTTTAAATTTATGACTAAGCTGTTCCGTTTCCAGATGCACGTTTCTGAGAAGCAATATATTGAACTCTTTTCAGAACTGTTGAATTTGTATTTCTATTAAATAAACATCCGCATATACTTTTAAGTTTGTATTTTCAACATGTTGTTTGGTTATTCTCTAACTGAACAGAACACTTAACATTGCTTCCATAAATCTGCTTACGTATCATATTTGTAAAAAATAAAACAAAACAATAAACTAGATTTGAAAAGACAAAACTTCCATGTGATTTGACTTACAAATGAATTCCAGCGAAAGACATATTTTTCAATTCGGTTACATTTGTATTTAGATAAGCCAAATCCATTGGCATAATCAAAAGAAACTTTGTTTTTTGTTATTTTGCTGGCGTTGGCGTTGATTTCAAGAGTTGTCCAAACGGAGCAAACGGAGCTCACTCAATAGATAAGTGCTTCGAGGGGGAATCACCTGCAGCGCTCAACGGCGAATAGGGAATACTTGAGACCCTGGAAATTTTTCTGTAGCTCGATGAGGGTGAAGTGAAATTGCATTTGGTGTGCGGCGCCAGGGGCAATCGAGTTTGGCAATACGTGTTGCCTTTAACTTGGCCCCTCAACCTGCCAGCCAAAAAAGAGGGTGACACGAGCAACGACGACGGTGTCTCTTGGCAGACTTCAGTGGAGCGCATAAAGCCCTAAATGAATTTATTTGGCTCATTTAAAGCAGCTAATTTATTTTTATTTTCATTGAATTTGTGTTTAGTCGGGCACAAGCTCTATTTTCAGTTGGTAAGTAAGCTGTTTAGTGCGGAGACTTGTGACTTTATCCCTTTTCAAGTTGTAGTTTTTGTTAAGCCCGCTTGCTTAAATCAGGGAAACGCTCTACTTCAAATAATCCACTACTTCAAGCCTAATCATAGAGAAGTCGCCTGTGGAAATGTGCAGTAATTTTGGTAAAATGTCTAATGAACCCTTTTCGGCAGGCCTAAGCCCACAAAATTGCAGAGCTCTGGCAAAACACTCTGGGGCAACGTCTTCGTCGCGTGTCAAAAATGCAACATTCAACGCTCTTTGACTCCTTTGATGGTCGCCCAACACGACACCCATCGTCGTGCCCTCAAATTTGTTCAAATTCATTTCAATTACCGTCAATTTTCAATAATTTTGTTCAAATTATATTCCATTAGGTTCAAAGCCCGAAAAACACTTTGCATATACATAATTAGACTGCGTCCGCAACGCAAATTTTAGAGCCATTCTTTGCTCTTCTAAGCATTAATGAAGTTGAATATATAATTAAATATTTTGCGTCACAGATACATACGTTTAAGAAAAGGTAAACAAAAAGTGGTTGGGAACTGTGAACTTTAAGATTTTAGCCAAATGCTTTTATATTAAATATTTTAAAATGTCGAAGTCCATGTTCAGTTAAAGAAAAAAACAAATTATTGCAAAATAAACTATTTGGTTTATTTATTTGAAACTTGGCAGGTATATTATGACAACATTAAAATATATTCACATATTTTTTATTGCCAAAAATAAATATGGGGAACGCTGATATTCCCCAAAAAAGGCCTCTTGCGGTGAGCACGATATCTCTGGACTGGATCATCTAAAATGCAAAAACCAAATAAATTGCAGTAATATAATAAATAATCTAGTGATTAATCGATGGAATTAGCAAAAAAAAATGTTTTGACAAAATGGCGGCTACTCAAAGCAAAAGGTTCGAATTTTTACCAAAATTCGGTTCTTTAATTGTTTATAAAAATCAATGGATGGGAAAATCCTTCAATTAATTACTAAAAAAAATATATAGTTAAGAAGCTTGTACAAAAATTTCAGACCGATCAATTCTGCCGTTTCTGAGCAATCTTGCTTACCGACTTTGAAAACACCGTTTCGAGAAAAACCCATTTAGTTAATTTTTTTCAACTTACACTGAGTCATCTGTTCCAGGGCCATAAAATAATCCATCTGCAGCAGTAGCAGATTTTCCCTAGACAGATGAAAACTCCTATAAAAGAGGTAGGAAGGTAGAGGTAGCAGGTAGGCAGTCGGTTCAGGTACTGCGAGATCCGATCCCCAGAACCTTCACTAGTTTGTCTATAACTTCGAAAATATTCGTCGGAACGACTTGAAATTTTGTGTGTGTATACTCAGATATCTATATAAGTTAATCACAGAAATATTTCTACATTTTTTCCGAGAAATATTGCAACATTGTCGATGGCAACATTGCAACATTTCAATACAACGGTCAAGAGCCCGAAAGTTCAATAACATAAACACGCCAAGAACCCCCAAGTTCAATAACATAAACACACGCATCCGGTCAGCAGCCACAGCGCAGTACCAAAATGCCGATTCTGCAAACCTTGCAGTTTCAGCCGCTCCACCAGAACTAGGCCACCGCCGCGGTCTCTTCCGCGACGTCGACGTCGCTGCCCCAACCCACAGCTTAGATCAGGGAATTTTTAAATGAATAAAATCAGTCTCAAATTGAACTCCGAATAAATCAAACGTTCAAAACTTATTTTTTGGGTTTTTATTATCCTGGAAATTAACTGGCGCCCGAACAGGGACCAACGCGAGGAAAACGATTAAGTTCCTTTTAGTGCAAATAATTAAAATATTTTTGTGCGACTCCGTTGGCCCAAACATAAAACCTGAAATCAGAGAGACTCCTTGGCAATTAATTTTGCAAGCTGAAGACGGTAACCGGTCGGTGAAAAACAAGTTTACTGATCCATCGGTGGACTACAAGTACTGTCAGGTACGCCCGCAGGACAACCTCTACTAAGTGTGAATCGCAGGATCCCCAGTAGGAAACAAAAAGGAAGACATCCGGATCACCAGGAGGTGTAGCCACATCATGATAAGTTAAGTGAATAGTGAATAAGTGAAGGCAACCAAACCAAAAGTTAAACCAAAAATAAAAGCGAAAAATTTTCTACACTAAAAGAAACATCTTAATAAAAATCAAAAGTTACAAATTTAAAATAAAATTTTAAAGTTAAAGTTCTAAAATTTGAATTCCATTTAAATTTTAAGTGAATCTAAAATTTAAAATTAAATTTAATTATTTTCAGTTATTAAAATTTTATTCATATAAATTTTAATTAATAACCATTTTTAAATACCAATTGAATTAAAGTATTTTAAAGTATTTAAGTGATTTAAATTTGATTAAACATTTCTACTACTATTTAAATTCGAATTAAAATTACAAAATTAATTTAAGCAAATGAAACATTCATTCCTTATCATATAAAAAAAATAATAATTAATTTTGAAACTTAATATTTATAAGAATTATACTTATCAACCATTTTTATCGTAAGACAGACCCATGAAAAAAATCTCCTATGGCCAATCGGCATAATCTTATACGACCACCCGTCATTGATTTACAACCTCAAGAACAACCTCAACATCAGCCAGAACAACTTCAAAATAATAATTTAAATCAGGTAGAACAACATCCAGCTAACATAGTTCAAAATCAAAGACAAATTCATAGACAGGAATTACATCAGGAACACAGAGACAATATGGCAGCATTAGAGTTACAAGAAGCAGTCAGACAAATAATTGCTGAACAATTACCGGTCCTATTACAACAAGCTCAAAACACAGGATTCGATTTTGCACAGATTCCAAATCAGGAAATTTCCTATGAAAATCGAGCTAACCTCGAAGGTTTGGATAGGGTACCAGACATCGTAAAAAGCTTAAGGGAATTTTCTGGCAACCCAATAGAATTCAGTTCTTGGAAAAAGGGTGTGGATAGAGTTCTTAAAACATATGAACACACTGTAGGCACATCTAAGTATTTTGGGATTCTACATACCATACGTAATAAAATCACGGGAAACGCAGACACTGCGTTAGAATCTTATAATACTCCACTCAACTGGAATGCCATTTCTAAATGTCTAACTTTGCACTACGCAGATAAGCGGGATTTAAGCACTCTTGAATACCAAATGACAACTCTATGTCAGGGTGCTCACCAGTCGGTAGAGGAATTTCATCAGTCAGTCTACAAACACCTTTCGCTTATTCTTAATAAGGTTGGATGTATGGAATTAGGAATGGAAGCCGAACAACTCATGACGAAAATGTATAGGGACAAAGCCTTAGACACTTTTGTGCGCGGACTTCGCGGAGATTTATCTCGTCTTCTCGGTATGAAGGAACCAACCGATCTTCCTTCAGCTTTACATCTTTGTTTAAAGCTAGAGAACCAAGCGTTCCGTGCAAACCATGCAGTTAATAGAGGGCAACAATCCGGATTTAGAAACGTGCCTTCCCAAAACTTACCACATTCACAACCAACCAGACCACAGCCAAGCAGGCCACAGTGGTCATTCCCCATTAATAACCAGTATCAAAATCCTCTAGTTCCACCTAGACAAAATAATAATATGTTTAATCAACCACGACCCCAGTTCTACAATAACAATCAAATTCCACCAGTCCCACAATATACTGCAGTTCGACCTTCAGGAAACTTTCCTCCGACTCGACCTTTGGCTGTAAAGCCACAACCACGACCAGAACCCATGGACATCGACAGGACCATGCAATCAAAACATATCAATTATATGAACAAACCCATACGTTTCGAGGCCGGTAAAAGACCACCAATGCCTCTAAACGAAGCCGTAAAAAAATCCAGAAATTTTAATATTCAAGCAGCCCCTCACACTTCTTCAGAAGTGGAAGATGAAA